CACCATGACCACTGAAACCCGCCCCGCACCGCCCCATTGCCACACTTATTCACCATACAGTACCTGAGAGACGCTTACTGGTACAAGGCATTTTCCATTTTCGTATTAATGAAATTTGGCTTATATAAAAGACAAGAACTTTTGAACTCAATCTGAATTTGATATGTATTGTCTTGAGAAAGAACTATATGTACAGTGTAGCTAATTTATTTAATTTACTCTATGTACTACTCTCATACCTGTCCCATACCTGTCCATGTGTAATTTGTCCTAATGTGAATAAACAATATATACAAGAAAATATAAAATATAACTAAGAATCTCTGCAGTCAAAATATTCCTTTGTTATTATGGACAGCTGGATTGTAAAGCACTTGACATAATCTCCTTCAAGGATAGAGTTGTCATTTCACACTCCCTTTATATTTGGAAACAAAATACTACTCCACTTCAAATATTTCAAACAATGCTTTTGTACTTTGTGAGTACTAAATCATTATCTTCTCTTTTATGTTTTCCGTTGTCGACAGTGATGAATGTCGATTGAATTCACTAATTAACTTCATACTTTGAAATCAAGTCTTAGTCTTTTATCCTTTCTTCAACACCCTCCCTCAAGTTGGAGGGGTTTGAGAAAACACCCAACTTACCCAGTAAGGTGTGATGCTTTGGTCCAGTGAGTGATTTCGTAAATAAATCGGCTAGCTGAGAGTCAGTTCTGACGAAAGAGAGGGAAATAAGATCGGAGATGAACTGTTGTCGCACAAAATGACAGTCAATTTCAATATGTTTCGTCCTTTCATGAAAGACGGGATTTTTAGCTATATGAATAGTTGCCTGACTGTTAGAGTGGAGTGGAACTGGAAGTGTGATTGGTGCTGAAAGATCATCGAAGAGGCGGACTAACCAGTTAAGCTCCGCCACAACTCTCCGCATAGATCGATACTCTATTTCGGCGGAACTAAGAGAAATTGAGGCTTGTTTCTTCGATTTTCAGGAAATTGGTGAAAATCCTAATGAGATGTAGAAATCACTCACTGATCTCCGAGAATTTGGACATGAACCCCAATCTGAATCACAAAAAGCTTGGAGTTTAAAAGATGGTGATGCAGTCATGAAAAGATCAAGTCCTGGGTCTTTAAGAAGATAATGAAGTACTCGGAGAGCAGCTTCGAGATGTGGTTGTCGCAGATCCTGCATATATTAACTGAGATATTGTATTGTAAAGGAAAGGTCTGGTCTTGTATGAGTAAGATAATTCAACTTCCCAATCAAGTGATGATATAAGGTTGGATCTTGAATGACTTCTCCAGTGTGGGCAAGAAGTTTTTGTGTCGGATCCAAAGGTGAAGAAGCTGGTTGCTTATCCATGCAGTCAAACTCTTTTAGCAAATCTAAGGTGAATTTGCATTGAGATAGAATCAAACCAGTTGATTCTCGAAGAACTTCCATTACTAAGAAAAAATATAAGTTTCCGAGGTCCTTAATCTTGAATTCTTGATCAAGAAAACTTTTCAAGGCATTCAATTCCTCAATGTCATTTCCAGTTAGCACGATGTTGTCAACATAAATTGCTACAATAGAGACTGAAGTTCCTTTCTTCTTAAAGAACAAAGAGTAGTCATTTAGAAAATGTGAATAACCTTTGAAACTAAGAGCACCTGTAAGCTTTGAATACCAATGTCTTGATACTTGACGAAGTCCATAAAATGACTTCTTTAACTTGCACACATTCTGGGTGTTGGAGAGTTCATACATGCTGAAAAATTCATGTATACCTCTTCGTTTAAATCTCCATATAAGAAAGCGTTGTTAACATCCAATTGATATAAGCCCCAACCCTTTTTGACTGCAGTATCTAAAAGGCATATGATTGTGGCCATTTTAACCACTGGAGAAAATGTTTCATTAAAATCTATACCCTCACGTTGCACATTACCTCTGATTACTAATCTTGCTTTCAGTAGTTCAATACTTCCATTTGAATGATGTTTAACTTTGTATACCCATTTGCATGGGAGGGCCTTTTTATCACCAGGAAGTTCAACAACTTCCCAAGTCTCATTCTGGACTAGTGCCTCAATCTCCTTCTGCATTGCTTCTTGCCATCCTGGGTGATTAGCTGTCTGGTTGAAGGTTAGTGGTTCTTGAACATTTGAAAGTGAATTTAAAAATGACTTATTTGAAGTTGAGAGGGCAGAAAAGGAGTAAGAAGCAGGTGTTATAGGAGAAAGAAAACATGGTGTGCCAACATCAGTTACTTGTACTGCATTTGTAATGTAGTCACTTAGGTAAAAGGGAGTTTTGTGAATCCGAATGGATTTTCTGAGTCCAACTGGTGAGTTCCTACGATTTCCATCTGTAGGTTGTGGACTGAAAAGTGGTGTAGGAAATTCTGTAACATCTTGATTTGGAGACTCGGATGATCAGAATGTTCAACTGAATTGGTAGTCTGCAAATCAGGCACTTCAAGATTTACTTCAGGTGTATTTGAAGTAGGAAAAATTGATTTATGAGGCTTTGAAGTGTTCATTGAAGCAAATGGATAGATGTCCTCATGAAATATAACATCCCTAGAAATAAAAGTCTTCTTTGTGTCAAGATTAAGGACTTTATACCCTTTCTTACCATGTGGATATCCTAAGAAAATACAAGGTAAAGCTCTTGGATCAAATTTTGCCCTGTGAGATGAAAGAGTAGAAACAAAATATAAACATCCAAAATATTTAAGTCTGGAGTAGTTAGGCTTAGTTTTAAATAAGATCTCATAAGGTGTCTTAAGCTTTAAAACCTTTGAAGGGAACTTATTAATTAAATGTGTTGCAGTCAACACACAGTCTCCCCAAAAATTAATAGGTAGATGTGATTGATAGAGCAAAGCCCTAGAAGTCTCTAGAAGATGCTTATGTTTGCGCTCCACAATTTCATTTTGTTGAGGAGTCCCAACACAAGTTGTCTGATGCAAAATTTCTTGTTTTAAAAAAAAATCTACATGTGCATTCCCTGTTCCAAGCTCAAAAGCATTATCTGAACGTATGATTTTGACTTTGTTGTGAAACTATCTCTCTATCATAGCTAAGAAAGATTGCAATACTAGAAACGCATTTGATTTTGTGCTAAGAAGATATGTCCAAGTACCCCTACTATAGTCATCAACTATAGTTAGGAAGTACTTATATCCATCAGAAGTGGTTGTATTGTAAGGACCCCATGTATCTATGTGAATTAAATCAAACATAGCTTTAGAAGTAGTTAAACTAGTGAAAAATGATAATTTCGACTGTCTAGCCATATGACATATCACACAAGGCACAGGAAAATTATCGCATGAAGAATTAGGAATATATGAAATATTCTTCATATTACTCAAAGGCATATGACTTAAACGATAGTGCTACAACTTGTTCCTTACATCAGAAATACTAGAGAAGGAAAATAAAGCTGAAGGAACTTTCTGATTACATAGATTTTTTTCTAACACAAATGAACTTCTAGATGAAGATGACTTCTTGGAAATGCGTTCCAAATGCCTTGATTCTAGAACATAAAGACCACAACTCTCCCTACCAATCACCAGAGGCCTCTTCATTGAAGGGGCCTACAAAAAATAGAAAAGAGAAGTGAATAATATGAGATAGTTATTTTATTTGCACAATTTATGAACTGACAACAAATTGAATCTAAAAGCAGGGACATACAACATATTGTGAAGAATCAGATTTGAAAAAAGTAAAACTGAACCTGAATGTATGACTCTAACCTTATGAGAGTTGGATAAATTTACATTCAAAGGTTTAGGTAAAGGAGCTATATTATAGAGAGCAGTTTCATCAAAAGTTATATGTTCAGATGCACCACTATCTAATATCCATGTCTTATTGTTGTTATGTGCAAAACAAGTAGCACAATTATGTGAGAAAGATATAACAACACAGTTCACATCTGCATTATTTTCAGAGCTACTGGTTCCCTATTTTCCCATCTGCACTTGCTGAAGGAGTTGTAGGATCTGGCTAATATTTTCTTGAGTAAGTGACTTGATCCCCGCCGTCTGTACTGCATTTTCTTCAGTGCTGAAAGCATTGTTACCTTGAACTGACTCTTGGTATTTTCGTTGATTTGTGAACTTGAAATCTGAGGGAAATCTAACAAGCCTGCAGATTTGTTCCACAACATGACCTGGCTTCATGCAGTATGAACAGGTATAGTTGTTTTTCTTTCCCTCATACACAGGTTTTTTTCCTTTAAAATCCCTCACATTGTTTCTCTTACCAACTGCCCCATGTTGTGCAGCAATAAATGAAGCTGATTCTCTAGGATAAACAGGAGAAGCATGTATTTTTCTTTGCTTTTCATCCTGGATAACCATAGAGTAAGCTTGGCCAAGAGAAGGTAAAGGCGAAGTCAACAGTATGTTGCTTCTCACACCTATGTAGGTGTCATTCAGGCCCATTAAAAATTGCAGCAGTCTCTGGTCTTGATGCGTTTTCAGATTTTTTTCTTTTAGCTCCACATACACATTCACATGAACAATTAGAAAAATTGATCAAGGTATCTAGTTCATCCCACAAACTTTTTATTTTTGTGAAATAACTTGAAATGCTAGAGTTACCTTGAACCACGCCACTTAGTTCTTTCTGTAGTTGAAAAAGTTTAGCCCCATTTGTCTGACCAAATCTGTCTTCTAAATTATTCCACAGATCTTCTGCACTATGTGAGTAAAGAACACTTTCTACAATTTCTTTTGACAAAGAGTTAAGGAGCCAAGACAATACCATGTCATTTCCTCTAACTCAAGCACTTTGAAGACCAGAGTTTTCATCTGGAATGGAAAGAGTTTCATCTATGAAACCTAGTTTATTCTTGGCAGAAAGAGCTATGACTACTGCTCTACGCCAAGCTCCATAGCTTTTGCCATCAAAAGCTGAGGAAACAAAGTTCATGCATGGGTAGTCTGGAGGATGAAGAAAGAAAGGGTGTGTTGAATCAATCACACCTTTCTTGGTTGAATCAGTTGTTGCAGCTACAACTTTTGTTGTTTCTCCCATTGTAAGGAATAGAGCAAAGTTGAAAAGTGAATAAGGGTTTCAAATATTAGGTTGGTCGACCTGCTCTTAATACCATGTAAAAGACAGGAACTTTTGAACTCAATCTGAATTTGATATGTATTGTCTTGAGAAATATGTATATGTACAGTGTAGCTAATTTATTAAATTTACTCTATGTACTACTCTCATACATGTCCCATACCTGTCCATGTGTAATTTGTCCTAATGTGAATAAATAATATATACAAGAAAATATAAAATATAACTAAGAATCCCTGCAGTCAAAATATTCTTTTGCTATTATGGACAGCTGGATTGTAAAGCACTTGACATAATCTCCTTCAAGGATAGAGTTGTCATTTCACACTCCCATTATATTTGGAAACAAAATACTACTCCACTTTAAATATTTCAAAGAATACTTTTGTACTTTGTGAGTACTAAATCATTATCTTCTCTTTTATGTTTCCCGACAGTGATGAATGTCGATTGAATTCACTAATTAACTTCATACTTTGAAATCAAGTCTTAGTCTTTTATCCTTTCTTCAACAGCTTATTCCTCGAAAGAAAAAAAAGATTCTAATTATATTATGAGTTTCCTACTACTTTATTTTAGTGTTTTATACTTTATTCCAATTGTTGAAAATAACAGAGAAAAATGTAATAGCACCTTAATTGTGCCTAAATAATAAGAAGAGAAAAATAAAATAAATTCCACTAACCTACATGGCTCTTTCCGCACATATCGTAGAAGCAGCGGCTAATTTGAAAAACAGTTATTAAACGTGACAACCAATCCCTTCTCTCTTCTCTTAATTTCCATCTTTGACCACTCTACTAACAATTAATTCTAATTAAAAAAATTAGTATATCTCATTCCTCATAAATAAGATATGTAACTGAAAAAATACACACAACATCATCTGACCTGCAATCTTATTGTTCCACATCTAAACATTAAAATCCCAGGTTCTTGTTTTTTTTTTTAATCATTCCTGTTATACTTATGTTTTTTGACATGTTATCAAATTTGTCTTTTTTCAGTTTTTCCCTTGTTCTCTTGATCTGATTTTTCAGCTATCAGTATTTACATACAAAACCATTCGGCTATTGGGAAAACGTCAATATACTTCTAATGCCGAATCAAGACTAACTAGGATAGGAATTAAAAGATGAAATTGTTCGTTTGGAAATTTTCCAAAAATGTAATCATAGGTTCTTCTCTCTATCGGAACAACAGGGCTGTTATGTTTATCAATAAACTTGTCCAAGAAATAAAATATTACCAAGGTATATCTTTTTTTATCAGAGGTTGAATGGAAAGAAGAATTAGGACAAGAATTGGGATATATTCGGGGAAACAAAAAATTAGATGTGGATTGCAGGGAAGGGGAGCGCTGGAGCAACGATCAAGTTGTCTCCGTGTAGGTCACGGGTTCGAGCCGTGAAATAAGCTTCTAATGCTTGCATCAGAGTAAGCGGCCAACATCACACACTCTTGGGGTACGGCCATTTCCTGGACCCTGCATGAACGCGGGTGCTTTGTGCACCGGGATGCCCTTTTATTACAGGGATTTTGATAAAACAATATTTTTAGGAGTTGTTTATTTACATCCTTTGTGTTGTATATGAAACATCACTTCTCTATAGAAACTGGCAATCCAATTTGCTTGATTCAAAAAAAAAAATCTGTATAATCATTTTCATTCATAGGTTTACTGGCATATTCTGCAGTCTAATTTTGCTACTCTCTTTTTTTTTTTTTTTGGTTATCTGTATTCTCAATGGTAAATGATAGGAACCTTTGTGTTTTTATGTGCAGAAAAATAGGTAAATATGGAGGGAACATTGTTTTCCCCAGCTTTGGAAGGAATGAAGCATGTCAAGTCTGAACATGGGGAGCTGATGACTAAGCCTTTCTTGGAAGTTTGCAAACTCGTATTGCCAATTCTAGGTTCAAAACTTTTCTCTAAAATTGTCATGATTATTACTCTGTGATTTTGATTTCATTGAGCCGAGGGTCTTTCAGGAATAACATATCTGCCTTCACAAGGGAGGGGTTAGGTCTGCGTACAGATTACCCTCCCCAAACTCCACTTATGGGATTACACTGAGTATGTTATTGTTGTTGTTGTTGTTACACTTTTAGTATTGAAGCCAATTTCTTTTACTAGAAAATATTACATGATAAAGTTGTTGTCATGTGACTAGGAGGTTACGGGTTCGAGTCGTGTAAACAGCCTCTTGCAGAAATGCTGGGTAAGGCGGCGTACAATAGACCCTTGTGGTCCGGCCTTTCCCCGGACCCCGCGTATAGCGTGAGCTCAGTGCACCGAGCTGCCCTTTACAAAATATTGCATGATGTTCGTATCTTCACCACCTTAACAACCTTTTGTGCTCAACTGATGCATATTTGGATTCTCATACATAGATGTATTGTGTTATCTAAAGTTTTTTAACAAATTGAATTCATTTGACACCCTATGATGCCAGATAAATTTGGAGCTGCTATGACTGTGGTTAAATCTGACATCAATGGAAATATATCGGTGAGTTAGTCATTTCTTTATTTCTTCTGCTTAAATATTACAAATATCGCAACTTGTGTTGCAGATTTCATGTGTAATAGTATCATTCAGAATTTTTCTATTAGAAAATCTCTTATGTAACCTTATACTTATGCAAAATTTGAGATATCTGACATTGTTCCTAATTGCGAATACTCAACGCTTGTTTCCTTACAGAGGTTAGAATCCAAGTATAACGATAACACGTCGAGATTCAACTACTTGTACAGTTTCGTACAGGCAGAAGTCGAGATAAAGACTGCTAAATCTTCATCTAGCTGTACCAATGGTTTGCTATGGTTAACAAGGTACGCGATTGCTTTTCCATCCTCGTTATGTAATCCTTTATCTTTGGTGCATAACAAGTTTGCATTTTGGTTATTTGATGAACAAACTCTGCTTACATAATGTGTTAAGATAAGTCAGACTAATCGATCATTCTGCTAACGCTGCAGAGCCATGGACTTCATAGTGGTGCTATTTCACAATTTAGTTCAGCATCAAGATTGGTCAATGTCCCAAGCTTGCAACGATTCTTACGCCAAGACATTGAAGAAATGGCACGGATGGCTTGCTAGTTCAAGCTTTACGGTATTTACTTCACTGTCTTTTCAGTCTAAAATTGATCTAACAACAGGATTTCAAAAGAAAATGGCATGAAAGATTAATTCAACTAGCCAAAGACTTCATCTGATAAATATGTTAATCTCTTATATGAGAAACTGTACTGTAAATTTGGTCTTCTGAACCTGTAAAAAGTGCTAACGTGTTTCTAAATGTGAACCAAAGGTTGCGATAAAGCTTGCTCCAGATAGGAAAAAGTTCATGGAGGTTATAGGTGGCAACGGTGACATCTATGGTGATATGGAAAAGTTTTGTACGACGTTTTCACCTATACTTCAGCAAATCCACAAATTTCTGGTATGATATTAATATTCTTTGCAAGTTTTCAAACAAAATTACGGTTGTCTTAAATTTGTGAATGATGCATTGGTCTTTTGTGCAGGCTAGTGTTGGCTTGGACGGTATGAAAGCTTCATGATCAACTTCTCCAGTTTCAGCATTCTGAAGTTCTAAAGTGTAGATCTTCACTATATTTGTTGATTCTATTTTCATTTTGTCCCAATTTTTCAACAGCATTGTTACTTCTCCCAAATTTTCACTACATCTGTTGCTTTTATATTCATTTTTCGTCCCGCTAAAGTTTTATGATATTTTCTGGCCAGCGTCTTACTCCTCTACTGCTGCTTCTTTTTGACATATCATGCATCACCAGACTCATTTTGCTCTCTTGTTTTCTCAATCTTTTTACCTATAGTTTGTGTGTGTGTGTGTGTGTGTGTGTGTGCAAGCGCAATCATATGAGAGTTCAGTTATGATAAATACAAGCTATCGATTAAGTTTGGAAGTGTTTAATGATTCACTTTATTGGAATACTTGCACAAATCTCATGTGCCTTCAATCAGCTACCTCAATATCTCTAAGTAGAGTACATGAATCTCATGTCACTATTTGTTTGGATTTTAGCCATCCAAGTCTTCTATGGTTCTTCCTTTCTCTATTTTCCCTTCCTCTTGGGGTGCGACCAATAAGATATTAAAAGGAAGTAGGAATTAAAGCATGAAAAGCCCATACATTTGAAAACATACAGTACCATGAACAATTTGAGTTTTACACAGACAAAAAAAAAAAAAAAAAAAGCCCGCTGCACAAGGCATCCGCGTTCACGCAGGGTTCAAGGAACTTCCGCACCCAAAGGGGTATGATGTAGACAGTATATGCTAGTACCAGCATTAATAGCTGCTTCCACGGCTCGAACCCAAGACCTATAGGTCACACGAAGACAACTTTGCAGAAAAAATAGTATTAAAATATCGGAGGGCCACACAACAAGGGAAGAGTTACAGTAAAAAAACTGGACATTATTTGCTCAAACTAAAAGTGTAAGGTCAACATTGTTTGTTGCACCATACTGGCGGCTGAGAATAGGGGAAGACTGAGCAGACTTTTAACTGTAAAGATGATCAAGAAGGGAGGGGAGGGTTTAACTATGTAGACTCAACAATCAATTTTCTGTTGTGTTAATCAAACTCAAGTCTGAATTACTAAGTAAATCCCATACAAGTACATATGCAATGTACTCGCGCAAAATATCAGAATGTCGCGTGAGATTACATACACGATTCACACAAAATCAAACGAGAATATCAACTAACAGTTATTAATATATCTTTTGACAGTAACAAAAGGTGTTCGACTGAGATGTTCTCCTACTTTGGGAGAAAGTCCAGTAGCTACTTCTTTGATAACTGACTGTGGAGTTAATGGACCAGTAGGGTTGAAGTTCTCCTTTGAATCATAAGAGCTCTTAAACATTCTTGTCTGATTTACTGATGCCTTTTTTATAGTCTCGGGATAAACTGATGGCGAAAGATCCTTAGAGAAACCTACTGATGGAGTATGAAAATCTTTTGCAGCTCCGATTGTCTTAACTGTAGGTGATGAGAAATCAGCATCTTTAACATTCTTCTCTGCAGGTTTCACTGGACTTACACTATGCTGAGTAAGCTCTCTATAATTTCCACATAGTGTGAAAATGTTCTCAATAAGCACTTTTCTAGAAGGTGCTGCACCTATACAAACATCACTGTCCTTTGATAAATCACTGAAATGATGATCAGGAGCTGGAATCAAACAACTCATGTCATGATTGAGCAGACCCGAACATATTCTTTTTTCCTCAATGACCTCCTTCTGCACCTCCCCTTCACCATCACCTTCTTCGTCCTCCTCAAATACAGTGCTCAGGCTCGCTTTATTGGCGAAATGTGGCAAGCCAAGATTGACAGCAGGATCTTCAACTTCTCCTGAATTGCTTATGTTGGGATAAGCCAAGATTGTTTGGAAAGTGCTACCACCTTCAGGTTTATATACTAGTACATCACGCTTTCCAGTATCCATATCAATTGATCTGTCCAAATCCATAGATTTTACCATTCCTGCAGCATCTTCAGAGTAAATATCCTGTAACCTTTTCGCGAAAGTATTTACCTCCACTTGTACTGATGATCCACTTTCAGCCCTAGAGCGGCAAAGCTCAGCTTCCATCTCCTCCAAGCGCCTCCGTAGCATTTCAAATTCTTGTTGCTGCTGGAACATTCTTTCTTCCATCTTCCTCCTTTCCATTTCAACAATTTCATTTGCCATTTTCTGACATTCTTGTATCCTCTTTTCCAACTCACTCTTCAACATCTGAGTTCGCTCGTTCACTTTAACATTGATCTCCTCCTCAGTTATCTCCGTCCCCTTTCCTTGTACTAACTCAAGTTTGGTCCTTAATGTAGCAATTTCCTCTTCTTTCCTCATAAGCTCTTTCTGAGCTTCATTACGCTCTTTCTCTTTCAGGTTGTTCTCCATCTGAAGCTTGTAGATAAACTGGTCCATAACGGCAATCCTTGATCCCAAAATAACTGCCGATGAGGAAGAATCTTCTGCACCTTTCTCTTTCAATGGCGTATGAGGGCCACGGACAATACATTTAGCTTTGGCGCCATACTCTAGAGTAGAGATTGTCTTGTGGAGTTCTTTAGGATCCGGGCTCGCACACAATATCATGAGAATTTTGGACTTGTCATCCTCAAAAGAATCCTACATCAAATTTAGTTGAATCAACTTCAGCAAGTCTATGAACAAATTCTAAAAAGCAATCTGCCCATACTATATATATGGTATATACACAAAATTTACCTGTAGGAGCATGGTTAACTTGCTATCTCTAAACGGAACATGAGAATCACCATTAGCAATCGATTCAACAACCCTCTTCAATGCAATGTTTCCCTGGTTTATTTTCGCAGTCTGCAAGATTTAATACCAGTAAGATAACAATTATATCTAAAAGATGATCATATATATTTTGAGGTACTTTAAAAGGAAATCAGATATGAACTCTTTTACCTGCATTTTTGCCTCCAAACCAGTTTGACCAGCTTGTTCAATATTCTCAGAACCAGCCATGTCCACAAGCATTAGTCGCCCTCCAACTGTTGGAACGTCGAGGATTATCTGTACAATGACATTTAGCCGCGTTTAGTGAAATTGAAGACGAATAACTAGAAATAAAACGAACTTATTTCAATGAAAATGTGATTAAACATAAACTACCATGCAGTGGCTCCGAGAGCTCCTCTCGTTACACAGGGTGCTCTTTACGATTCTTCTCTTCTCCACTTTCTGGATCTCTTTCGATATCTTTATAGCTTCAGTTCCCGAGATAAAAGTTGCATTTTTTGCTTTTTTACAAATAACTTCCAGCTTCACCTGCAAAGGTAAAAGACAGGACCAACATTGTATAGACATAAAAATCAGTAAGCAAAGTCATACCTACTTTCTCATTTTTTAAGTTTCACATGATAACCCTACATCATCTCCTAACGGACTGAAGTTACTAACTTCTGACTATAAACGTCTGTTAGTTATAGATCAACGATGAAAACGAGACCTCATTCTCATTGACATTTTCTGTGTAGGTCTTTTCCTTCCATAGTCATGATGTTATGGATTGGGGCAATGTATATCGAGCGAGTTTAGGTGAAGCACTAGAAAGTCACTGACATTTTGGTATTTAACAAGACCATTACTATCTCAAGTCAGGTGGAGGTTATACTAAGGAGGAGACATAAAGTGGATTTATGTGAGATAAAAATACTAAACTACATTGAGCAAATATCACTTAAATAACAACAAGCACATCTGTATATCACAAATTATAGAAAGTCAACCGGAATTCCTGTTGACGTGAAAACTTAACAATAAAAACCCTTAATAATGGCTGCTACAAATTCAAGTACATCAACTAGCACATTTAGAATACAAATAAACAACAGCTATAATGTTAAGATTCTCACACAACAATTATAATGTTAAGGTTCAGTCAGTTCAATAGCAGAATCAATGATACAGAACTAAACATGTTATACTACAATCTCAGAAACACATGAATAAAAGAAAAAACTACATTCAAAAATATCAGATAAGATACTACTAGTCTATGTCTCCATATATCCACAGCAGTACATCTACTATCAAAAATTTACCAGAAGAATAATCTGTTTTTACCTTAGAAGAACTGGCCTTGGACCAACCAAAACCAAATCCTCCACCACTATTAGTCGACGATAACAAATTATAAGTTTCCTTAGCATTTCGGAGTTTAACAAGACCACTACTATCCCAAGTCAGGTGGGGGATATACTTAAATAACAACAAGCACATCTATATAGCACAAATTGTAGAAAGTCAATCGGAATTGCTATTACAATCAAACCTCTCTATAACAGCCTCGTTTGTTCCAATATTTTTTGGCTGCTATAGTGAAATGTTGTTATAGAGGACGTATATTATAACATAACATAAAAATTGGTTCCGAGCAAACTTAGCTTTTATAGTGAATGCATATTATAGAGAGATGTTGTTACAGAGAGGTTTGACTGTAACATGAAAACTTAAACTATAAATACCTTAATAATGGCTGCTATAAATCTAAGTACATCAGCTAGCACATTTAGAATACAAATAAACACAGCTATCATGTGAAGAAATGAGCAAAACTCTTCTCAAACCACAGCTATTATACAGAACTAAACATGTTATACTAAAATTTCAGAAACATATCAAATACAAAAACAAGCTATTAATTTATCCACAGCAGAGCATCAACTATCAAAAATTGCCAGAAGAAAAATCTATTTTTACCTTAGAAGCACTGGCCTTGGACCAACCAAAACCAAATCCACCACCAGTATTATTCGTCGATAACAAATCATAAATTTCCTCATTATATATCTCCAAAACAGTAACCTGAACAAATGTGCCAACACCAACTTTCTCACTATTTTCATCACCCAATATATCCTTCAATGACCTATACACAATACCAGGCTGCTTAACACTTCCAAACATTGTATGACTTTTACCAGCACCAGTTGGTCCATACATCATAATTGTGCATTTATCACCTAATTTCACACCATCAATTCTTGACTCCACAAATTTCTTATAAAACTCATCAAGATCCTCTTCTTCAGACAACGACACGCCATCAAGTGTAAAATCTCTATACCCTATGTCAGTCCTAACGCGTAAGGACCGATAATCAAAATTTACTTGTAATGCTGATAAAGATTTGTCCTTTTTATTATCAGGGTAATCGCGAATACGGCCTATAACCTCAACCGGGT